AAAAAAAAAAAAAAAAAAAAAAAAAAAGGGAGCTGGTAAAGAAAGGAGGCAGAAGGCATTCAAAAGTAAACTCTTAAGGGAGTGTCCTGCTCATAAGAAGGCAAGGCAGGTATTATAACACAGGTGGGTACAACAGAAAACAGAAGGGGAAAGGACAGGGACAAAGAAGTGGAGCAAGAGGAGGGAGCAGGTAGGGCGGATTTGAAAAGGATTTTAGAGCAGGTAATGCTGCTGATCCAGGGTCATGTGGCGTGGGCCCAAAACTCCACACGGGGGAGTGCAGATGGTTTCTGGTAAGCAGTGGGGAGCAGTTGAAGGTTAAGGGCCCAGGTGTGACCTCTTCAGAGCTGTGCTGCGGGAAGGACAGACGGGGATTGGGGTGCTGCAGGAATTCAGCAGGAGGGCAGGAGAGCTGGCCTGCAGCAATGCCTGCGGAAGGGTGAGACCAGTGGGCAGGAGCCGGGGAGAGGGAGGAGTGAGAGAAGGCCGGGGCTCGGAACCTAACTTGCTGCTTGGATGACTTTACAATTAATCAACTGTATGGGGGCATATTTTCTTTTCTTTCTTTCTTCTTTCTTTTTTACCATGAGCAATTAAATTCTTTATTATAAAAATCTCAAAAATGTCCACCTTTGCTGGAGGCCAAACTTCTAAAATGGGATCAAAGGCAATCCTGCTGTTTCTCTCTGAAAGCTAAACTCCCTCTGAATGAGAAAATTATACTAGAACACGAAGAATTTTATTTCCAGGCTTCATATGCAAAAGGCAGTTTGCATTCTTAGGAAACACAAAAGTATTACTTAAACCACAAATATTTCTATCTACTCCATTCAACCCAATTAAAGAAAACAAAATGATGAGAAAAATAGGAACTGAACAGAAAGAAAATTCACTTCATTTTCTACTAGGATGAACGTTCAAAGGTTGCTTCAAATTAAGTACTTTTAATTATCATTCTAGCCAGGATCACACTAAATAAGACCTCATGACAGTCCCATATGCAGCCATTTCACCTAAACCGTGGCACGGAAAGCTCTGCTGTGAGCCACAAGAAGCACATCACCTCCCCACAAGCACAGGTTGCTGGGATGAGCCACCCTTTCCTTTTCCTTTCATGTTTATATTCTTCTCAACTGCGTCTCAGTTTCCTAAAGGTCCCAGCCACACAGAATTCTTTTAGGGGTTAAAGTAGGAGGAAAAAAATAAAGAGAAGCCAACATCCATCCTTGAAGAAAAAAAGTAAATCCATTTCATGGTATGGGGCATATTTTCTATAAGCTGGTCTGGGAGGCTGTAAGAGTTACTCATGAAATATTAACAAATTTAAAGAAAATCTTTAATTATGGGCCAGGCACAATGGCTCACACCTGTAATCCTGGCACGTTGGCAGGCTGAGAATGAAGGATCGCTTGAGGCCAGGAGTTCGAGCTTAACCTGGGCAACATAGTGAGAACCTGTGCCTATGAAAAATACACAAATTAGCCAGGCGTGGTGGCATGTGCCCATAGTCCCAGCACTTTGGGAGACGGAGGTGGGGGAATCGCTTGAGCCCAGGCATTTGAAGCCACAGCGAGCTATGATCATGTCACTGCACATTTTAAATTACATAAACCCTCAAAAATTCACATAACTCTTTAGCTTTCAGAATGTACACGTTTCCTAGAAACACCACTATGCTTTTTATTAACCTCAGAAAACATGCCCTATGCTTTAATAAGTGCTGTGAACATGTTACACTTCCTGTCAGATAGGTTGGGAAAATAAATGCTCAGCTCTGCATATAAGAGTCACCAGCTCCCTGGTGGCTTCAGGAGGGTACTGGATGCTTGCTTTCCTTCGCTGGAGGGATCACGTGAAAAACACTCCCAGAGGTTGAAGAAAAACACCTAAGAATTATATAGACAGAGATTTGCTGTGTGCATGGGGTGAAGGAAGGACACTGAGGTGCCAGAAAAGCCAATTCGAGGCCTTGTGCCCTAAAGACGAGGCTTCACATTCACTTCGGCACTGCCCTGCATATGCACTGGGGTTCCAGGTGCATTGCTGGGCATGGGGGATCCCGAGCGGCCTGCAGGGAGCTCAGGGTCACTCAACGAACACAGGGCACAAAAAACTGTCATCACAATATGCTAAGTAGAATGGCAGAAAAAGGTCCAAGGGAAAGAAAGAAAGAAAGAGAAAGAGAGAGAAAAAGAAAGAGAGTGAGAGAAAGAAAGAAAGAAGGAAGGAAGGAAAGAAAAGGAAAAAAGGAAAGAAAGAAAACAAACTCAAATGTGAAAGTGACTAGTTCAGCCCAGGTGCCATCTAAGAGGTGACAATGGAGCAAAGGCCTTGTGGGGTACACAGGAGCTCTCTGTAATAGACAGAATGTTTGTCCCTTCCCAAATTTTATGCGGAAGCCCTAACCCCTAATATGATGCTATTAGAAGACAGGGCCTTTGCAGGGTGATGAGTTTTCGATTAGGTCATAAGGGTACACCCCACATCATGGGGTCATGGCCTTCACCACCACGGAAGACCACCCCGAGAAGGCGGCCATCTGCAGGCCCGGAAGAGGCTGGGCTCATATGGTCCATGCTCTCAGAGATCTTGTGGACGTGCTGGGGAATTGCACATTTATCCCACAAATGCAGGTTAACATGAAGCAAACAACTGCTCTGAAGGAAAGGACTTCTATTCTTGGAGATGATATGAGAAACAGAAACTGACCAAGGTCTGGGAGTTCAGGGAGGGCTTCCCTGAGAGAGTGCCCCTCGAGCTGATGATAACTGTAGGATGTATAACCATTTATTTGGTAAAGAAGGGAGTGGCAGAAACACATTCCAGGCAGAAGGATCATCTAGTGTGCAGGTGTGCAGGCCCTGGTAGAAGAAAGCCTGACACAAAGGGCTTAAAGGTGGGAGGAGCTCAGAGAGCAGGTGGGAGACCTGGCAAGAGAAGCTCCACAGAGGAGCAGGGGCAGCCATGCAGAGCCTAGGGACTGTGGCGAGGGGATGGTCCTTGCGCTGTGGGCAACAGGAAAAACCACTGGAGTTAGAACAGAAGGGTGACGTGGTCAGATCGGCATTTCACAGAGATCACCTGTGGTTTAGGTGTGGAAGGGATGGAGCGTACACAGGGAACCCAGTTAGGAAGCCACTGCAGGATCTGGACAAGAGATGGAGGTGGCAATAAAGAGACATGTTCAGACAGATATGGCATGTAGGAAGTCAACTCAGCAGCATTTGGCGACAGTTTAGACATGCAAAGTGAGGAAGAGACAGGTGTCAGGATGGAACAGAGCAAAGGACAACATGGTTGTAATGCAGAAGCAAGAGTACCCCGCAAAAGTACTGCATGCTCAGAAATGGGAACGTTTTGCTCTCAGTAGACGAGTCATCAAAAGGAGGGGATGGAGGTCAATGGGACAACAGTGTAAAATTCCATGCAGGGCTTTGGAATGAGACAGCTGAATTACACCTTCCATCTACTCCTTGCTTACTGTGTCCAGGGCAAGCTGCTTACTGTCTTTGAGTCCCAGTCTGTTCGTTTGTAAAATGAGCTATTCATATTAGG